GGGCCATTTTACAAAAATTCAAAGTATGCATATTGTTTAGAATATTATTCTGACCATCTTTTGTTCAATATTGCTTATCAAAATATTCCCTCTTTTCAAGATATGAAGCGTCAAAGATTTAGCATTCTGGCCCCTTGTGACCCCTTATTACGTAAGATATCCTTAAAAGTTGAAAATATGTTGTTGCAAATGGTCTAAAATTAATAAAAATCGAAAAATCGAGCAGAAAAAATGATAAAATTTTTTAGACACACGGGGGATCGAACCCGGGTCGCCCGCGTGACAATCCAACGCGCTAACCATTCGGCCATCGAGATCGCCGCTTCGCGTTTTCAAATGCAAATATCTCGAGATTGGCTTTTTCGATTTTCAAACAAATTTCATATTTGGCTTCTGCAAAAGGGTCTCTATTCAATTCCAAAACAAAAATATTAAAAAAGAAAAGTTGAAAAATTACGTTTTTTAAATTCGCTTCCGGTTTCGACCGGAAGTATTGACGTCGCACGAAAAGGCGATTCTGCAACGCTATAAGTCATGAACTATCATCTCCAATTAATCTTCAGTTCATATCTAAAGCAGTTTTCGCTACTAAATCAAGACAAAATTGCATTTTAAAATCAGAAAATTGTCCATATCTCACGACCGGAAGTAACGTCATTGACGAAAAAAATTTCCAATAAGGTTCAGATCAGTACCTATCATATGTTAAAGTTTCATGAGAATCGGTCCAGTAGTTTACGAGAAATCGCGTGCACAAAATCGGTAAGAATAATAATAATAATAACTAGATACGACCTCGTTGCGAGCAACGAGGGGTCTTCCGTCCGATTCTGAATTTAAAAACGAAAAATCTTGCAGAAAAAGTGATAAAAAAAAAATCGGACATTCGGGGGAGCGAACCAGGGTCGCCCGCGTGACAATCCGACGCGCTAACCATTAGGCCATTGAAAACACCGCTTCAAATTTTTAAATACGAAAATCTCGAGATTGCCTTTTTCGATTCAAAAACAAATTACATATTTCGCATTCACAAAAGAGTCACTTTTAAGTTATCTAATATCAAAGAAAAATATTGGAAAACAAAAAAGTTGAAAAATTGCGGTTTTTTAAATTCGCTTCCGGTATCGACCGGAAGCACTGACGAAAATTTGAAAGTATAGGTGCAAAACTACAACATGTCATCTATTAGTCCTGAAAACGACAACATTCTAGCTTTTGTCGTTTTTGAGTTTTTGTGTCGACAAAATGGTCACTAAAAATTCGTTTAAAGATCGATAACTTCCGACCGGAAGTGATTTTTCAAAAATTAAAAAAAATGGATCAAGTTTAGATCATGATACATCATCTCTGAAAATTTCAAAGAAATCTGTCCACGCATCTCTGAGAAATCGTCTGCACAAAATTAGGACGAAAAAAAATAATAATAATAATAATAGTGAAAAAGAAACAATAGAATAATAGAAGGGTCTTCCGTTGGAGACGGAAGACCCTAATAATAATAATAGGGAAAAAGAAACCGAAGAATAACAAGAAGGTCTTCCGTTGGAGACGGAAGACCTTAATAATAGGGAAAAAGAAACCGAAGAATAACAAGAAGGTCTTCCGTTGGAGACGGAAGACCTTAATAACTAGATGCGTTCTTGTTGCTGGTGCAACAAGCAGGTCTTCCGACCGACTTCTCTTTTGCGTTCTATGCTGCGTCATCCCACGAAATAGATTTCATAATGTATTTTTTTCGTTTACGTTCATTAAGAGTAGTTTCTCAACACAGATCGTGATTGTTCCAATTATTTCACAAAATGTCTCCAAATATAGCTTTTAAAAATCGGCAAAATCTTCCACACATGTTATAAAAGAGTGAAAAGTAATTTGCAACTGAAAAAAGACAAAAACAAAGAAAAAATTTGGGGAAAGCCCCGAGCGGGATTCGAACCCCCGACAGTAAGACAAAGTTTGGTTCGGTCATATCTTTGCAATAAACGCACGCATGAAAAAAATGAAAACATATATAGATATCGTTGAAGACGCTCTATAAACCCTGTAAATCTGAAAGAAAAATATTGAAAAACAAAAAAGTTGAAAAATGAGACTTTTTGAATTCACTTCCGTTTGCGACCGGAAGTAGGAACGACAAAAAATGAAGGACGTTCGGCACATCTACATGTGATGCTCTTTCATGTCCACGAGTTTCAATGCCATATCTTTAGCCGTTTTCGAGAAAAGAAGGGTACAAAAATCCATTTAAAAAATACAAATTTCCCCATAAATCGCGAATGGAAGGAAATTTTGAAAAAAAGAAAAATACGTCTGGAGATATTAACATGATGCATCTTTTCTGTAAAAATCTTCGAAATCCGTACAGTCACAGCTGAGATATCGCCATAACTATGAAAAAAAGAATAATAATAATAACAGGAAACCGACGGAAAACAATAACGTCTTCCGAAGGAAGTCGAAAGACCTTAATAATAATAAGAAACAATAGAATCACTATAAGGTCTTCCGTGAAGACGGAAGACCTTAACTAGATGTTCAATGGCCTTTTAAATGGTCTCATTTGTATAATACAATGTAAAAGTTCAACAGAAGCATAGAGCAAAACAGCAGTTACCTCCTCCCCCAAAGGCTTGGAATTTTTTCTAAGTCCAAGGGGCATAACTCTGTCCAAAATGGATTGATCATACCCAAAACAAAACTTGACCAAGATATTCTTATGATAATTCTGTATACTAAATTTCACTTCAATAAAAGAAACCTCTGCAAAGAAAATGAAACTGCAAATAATTAGAATTTTTCTAATTCCAAGGGGCATAACTCTGTCCAAAATGGCTGAATCATACCAAAATAATACTTGGCCTGGATATTCTTATTAAAAAAATCTGTGTACCAAATTTTATTTCAATATGTGCAATGTGAAAATGAATGGAAACTGATGGTGTACCCACAGACAGACCAACAGACAGCAGCAAAGCAATATGCCCTAGCTCCCGTCTTTGAAAGGGGGCATAAACTGATGAACTGATAGATGATGATATATGTATAACATTAGAGGTTTAATAATCTACTTTACGATTTGTTAGTTTAAGTACTTGATTATTTTTATGATTCCTGATCATCCTATTTTTTTTCTTTTGGATAATACAAATAATATCCATATTTTATTTACCTGGATCTGAAAATTTCTTTATAATTTTTCTAAATGCACCTGTCCGTTCTCTGAATGTTTGGTCATTCTGTCTAAAAAAAAACAAATAGATACTTTAGGTACTGTGAAATCATGCACTATAAATTTCGTGAGGGTTTAATTTTTTGTTGTTGTTTTTGAGGTATAGATAGACCCACAAATTTATGACCATCATGAAATGTAAAATTTCAAAGGCATTACTACTAAACATTTTCCAATCATAAATTAAAATCAAATCCCCACAAACCAATGTTTTTTCCTAAAACCTTGATAATTTGACCCCATGAAAATATGTGATTTTACAGTATATTTTGGAACTATTTTTGTTGTACATGTAAGTGATAAATTTCTAAAATATAAAGAAATCTTAATTATCTCTCTTCAATGTTCAAAATTTTATCTCCAAGCCACTATGCATCCTAATTGATTGATCATATACAATTTTTTTATCAATTAAAATCCCATTATTCTGAATGAAAATTTAATTTTAATATATACTTCTATAAACATGATAAACATATATGACTTAATAAAGATTCAAGATTTGTTTAAAAAGTTTGTATCGTGTATCATATTAAAATATATACAATTTTTAGCTATAAAACATGTATATTCAATTAATTAATTTCTATAGTTAGAATAATTTGTCTCTACTGGGACAATCTTTGCAACATTTTACTCCATGAGAGTCAGTTTAAGAGCTTCAAATGCATTTCCTATACCGTATAATCCCTATTAACCACTTAGAAAATTGCAAAAAAGGGGGCTGTTATTTTGGTATTCTCTTAATGATATTTAATGTCTAATTTTAACTTCAAGAAATCTCTTGAAAAATAAGCTAGAGTGAGCAATGAGCTCACTAAATGATACCCCCCGCCTCCCATGATGTCCACATGTTGCTATATATTATTTTACAGTAATATGTAAAAAGGAATAACTCTTCCTATCAAATGTTATCCAGAAGCTTCTATATGTGATGTCATAGGTAAACATATAATGGAAATGTCCATGTTTTGCTATGGGAAACCTAAAATATGTGTTGAATAAAAAAGTAAAATAGGAGGTGCACAATGGCAATATGTAACACAGATTCTGTGAAAGTTTCATTAAATTTCACTCAGTAGTATAATAGGAGTTGCGGATAAGAGATAAAGCGTAACAGACGGACGGACAGACGGACGGACGGAAATCCCGATTACTATATACCCTCCCACTTTTCAAGCGGGGGGTATAATAAATACAAGGAACCACTAAATTAATGTCTAACTTTACTTAAAGTGAAGATAATCAACCCAAATTATGCTAATTAAATTATTCATTTTCCACTATGAAATAGGATAATAGACACGTTTCATTTTCACTTTCTTAATTTTCATATCCCCCGCTTGAAAAGTGGGAGGGTATATAGTAATCGTTATGTCCGTCTGTCCATCCTTCCATCCGTCTGTTATGCTTTGAGGTACCCATCTCTTATCCGCAACTCCTCTTATACTACTGAGTGAAATTTAATGAAACTTTCACAGAATCTTTATTACTTGTTGGCATTGTGCACCTCCTATTTTACTTTTTTATTTGGCATGTATTTCAATTAGGTTTCCCATAGCAAAACATGGACACTGCCATTATATTCTTACCTATGACGTCACATATAGCAGCTTCTCAATAACATTTGATACGAGTTATTCCTCTTTACACATAGCAAAACATGGACATTATGGGAGGCGGGGGGTATCATTTAGTGAGCTCATTGCTCACAGTACCTCTAGTTTTGATAGCATTCTTGTTGCTTTTAATCATTGTACAAGGGGCCCTAATATTTCCCGACAATTGAAAAAGACCTAAGGGGGCACTTATAGGGGCAGGGGCTGTTAATAGGGATTATACGGTAATATCTTACATAATTGTACATACAGAGCTGACACTAAATGCTTTAATCACTTAATTTGCATGCACAAGAACTAATTTATCCATCATCTGATACACATGAATGTCAGGAACCTTGGTCCTATATACATTTAGTACTATTGAACCAATGACACCTCTGCCCTGGAGACAGGTCAGCTCATACATGTATGAGGCAACTTGGCAAAAGCTTAAGGCAGGATTGCTCATTCCCAAAGCATAAGACTTAAAATAAGTATTTTAAAATTGTTAATAGATGTTTTTTATACCCCCCGCTTGAAAAGCGGGAGGGTATATAGTAATCGGTATTTCCGTCCGTCCGTCCGTCCGTCCGTCCGTCTGTTACGCTTTGGGGTACCCATCTCTTATCCGCAACTCCTCTCATACCACTGAATGAAATTTGATGAAACTTTCACAGAATCTTTATTACATATTGCAATTGTGCACCTCCTATTTTACTTTTTGATCCGACACATATTTTGGGTTTCCCGGCCACAGGAAAACATGGACTTTTTCACCAGTTAAAACCATATGGGAGGCGGGGGGTATGATTTAGTGAGCTCATCGCTCACAGTTCCTCTAGTTTTTCAAAGTATTTTCACTGAAAAAAATTTTGTACATGCCTTCATGTACACTTGTTTATAAAAATTCAAGGACAGACAAGTTTGTCATAAAATTTTGCATGGGTTAGCATCTTTTATATGGGTTGAGGTATCAATAATCCTAGGCTGACAAGTCAGGGCTGTGTCAGGTGTTACAGGAGAAGGTGTTGGGTTGAGAAGTCTGTCTACATGTATAGATACAAAGATTAGAGTCAATTACAGCAAAGCGGCCAAACGAAATTTTTTCCACTGTAACTTCTGGACCCAGAATGCAGAATAACAAGAAAAATTCAATAAAAAATACTAACTCACTTTGATTTATATAATTTTAATTCGACGTCATGTGACGTCAGAGTGTACACGCACCAAATTTCATGTGCAGATTGAGGTACCCCATCTAATAAAATTAAAACTGAATAAGTATATCTGTGTCCGCCCTTATGGTCGTACCATCAACATATTAACCAGCTAGACAAGAGAATTTAAAATTATCATCATCTGTTCATTTTGCTCTAGTCATAAATCTGGCAATAAGATAATAGCCTTTTATCTATATTTGTTCAATAGAGGTATTACCTGTATCCATGAATACACAGTATCTGTCAAATAAAAAAATAATACAATACTGTAATACAATGTATAATATAAGAGAAAGATAATAGTTAATACATGCAGTGTATCTTGGCAACACAGATATATTTTTGTATAGCTGGCACAGCTGCCTCATTCTGCTAATCTTGACAAAGGTACACTTCTATATAAAATACGGTAGGGATATGATCTATTTAGAGCCCATATAGCAGTATATAGTCAGATAGTATAGGGCTAGATATATAGCATTATTATATACCTAACGTTTATCACTCAATTTTACTGTAGAATTAACGCAATCATGTGATGTCATGATCCGACTTTCCGGTTCACCACACTGTGGTTTTCTGAATCCATATCACCACTCTCTGAAACTGATGACGTAGTACGCAAAAGCATGACGTTATTTTTCTTGTGCGTTAAAAAGCCCCTTGTTATTATGCTTTGTTTTATGGATAAATGCTATACAATTGATCTCTAAAGTTTTCTTTTGCTATATTTTGCTAGTTATAAAGGAGTATATAATAAATTTATCATTATAACAGTAACTTGATCCGAAGAGCCATATCATGTCTCATTGACAGGCGTGGATCATCAGATCAAACTCGACACTTTGCGTCTTGTTAGATCCGATGATCCGCGCTTGTCAACTTGACGTACATGATACGACCCTTCGGATCAAGATACTGTTATAATAATATATATTTATAGGGCCAGGCTAATTACAAAAAAAAATCTAATTATTATTAACTGAAAGTGTATTTTAGAATAGTATTAGCTACAATCATTAATATTTTTGCCCCAGAAATATGAAATGTAATGTTTAAATTGATAATTTATGAAATATTTTTTCATCAGGTCAAATATCGGGTCTTTAGGCCAGGTAAAATTAATCTTTAGATTCTCATCCTAATTTGCTAAAAAATTGGGGCGGGTGGGCGGATTTTATTTTTTATTTTTTACAATTTTTAAATTATAAGGATCAACAAAACATGGACGCCTCGTACTCATTTTTTTTTCATTATGTTATTAATACAAATTTGAATAGATTTAATTCTTTTCATATTCTTTTAAATATTTAAAGAAAATTCTTGCTTTAAAAATTGAATATTTATTGTTGATTAAGAAATTATCAAGTACAACATTATACGGCACACCCTGAACAAAATGAGGTGGGGATACCAATAAATTGTGTGTGCTTGATTTCTTATTTTGCAAAATCTATATAAATGTTCTAATAATTATTCTACTGAAAAATCTAGGCCTTCTCTAAAGTCTGTCTGCGACATTGTTGGGTTTTTTTTTTTCAAAGCAAAATCACACACAGCTGGAGATCGTTATATATAACTTGACTAGGTGTCATTTTCCTCATCTATTTTTACTTAGTTACAATCTCTCTAAATACTTGCTCCTGCCAGTAATGGTATCTAGATGTGTTTATGCTATTTTTTCTTCTCTGTCTTCTCTATATTGACAAATTATCTTTTCCTTACATATTTAAACTGCTTTTATTGCCGATTTTTCTCCATTCTTCACATGGCTCTTTTGCTATAAATAGCGACACGCGACTTTTAATACAGACGGGAGATAACTCTTAAACTTTGACCCAAATTCTTGCTGAATAAAAATACATGAAAATACTTTTATTAACACCCAAAAATCAATATAAAATACACCGGGGCGGGACACTTTGAGAGGGGCGGGCGGGGATGAGAATCTAAAGATTAATTTTATATGGCCTTAGTAGGTCCAGCACAATCTCTTGATTAAGCTATATAGCTTTAAAAAGCTATATAGCTTTATTAAGCTATTCAAAATAACTTGATAAAGCTATTTATATGCAGTTTTTCACAAAAACGTTTTTTGAAAGAAATAGACAAAAAGTCGCAAGTATTTGACTATATTCATATATGTACTATGGACTATCAAAAATACAACCTAAATCATAGAAAGTTCTTAAATTGCTGCTGTTGAATACTTTAAGCAAAATATGAATTTCCATTGTTTGAGTAACTGTGTGTGCGGTGAGGCGTGGGTAAGTATGATTGCTTCTCATTGTGCTGAACTGTTACTAATCAATTATCCTGTTGGCCATAACTGGCCTCCTTTATAATTTCATTCAAGAAATAACTCATCAATAGCCCCAAAACTTTTAAAACTTTGAGAACAAAGTCTCTCAAGGAGACGCAATTTGGTGAGTGATTTTTACATGCATTGTATTCAGAGAGAACAAAGTTTAAAATTTCCACTGCACCTAGGTGCGACTTTTTGCACATGTTGAAAAAATAACACATTTGAGAAAAAAATCTGAGAAAATAGCTTAATCAAGCTATTCTGAATAGCTTAATAAAGCTATATCATAGCTTAATCAAGAGATTGTGCCGGACCTGTTTAGCATATCAGGTCTTTAGTATGTTCCGTTATGTATTTCTGTTCCCAGTGATGACTTCTAGCTTAAAATACATTTAATCATTTGTGGTTTTCATAAATTTCTATTTCAGGACTAAGACTCTTGAGACATACCTTCAATGACATCGTCTCTGCAATCAATGTTTGAATGATTCCGATTTTGTTTCACTCGGAACTACTCGGATGTCTCGCGCACTCGACAATAACTCGGAACTACTCGGATGTCTCGCGCACTCGACAATAACCTCGGACGTAATACGATGGCATCCATTAAGGACTACTTTCAACCTCGTTTTAAAAATGGTTGGAAACATGTGGTTCGAATTGACTCGATTGAGGGTGAATTATCATAGACCGAAAGATAATGGTTAGTACTATTTAAAATAAGTTAATTCAAATGATTTAACTCGGAACCTATCATAACAATAAGTATATGCCACTAGAGGCGTAACATTTAGTTGTGTCAATGCGTGGTTCCTTTTGTGTAAAGTATGTTATAGTGTAAACAAATGGTAAACAAAGTAAATCAGATTGTTTTATTTGTTAAAATAAGTTATTTTCGTCTAGTTTGTTGAAAAGTATTGATTATTATTTTAAAAGGTTAACCGTTTTGTCTGTTCCCTAACAGAAGGTAAATGTAGAAGTATTTTTTCAGGGGTTATTTGATGAAAACTCCCTTGTTTGTGACCACTCAACATAGTCATTGATAGTGATCATTATGGAATCAGGAACTCCTCAAAAACTGGTCCCATTGAGTTCCTGTTTGCTCTGTGCCTCATCAACCAGGAGGTTACACTCCTTCACTCAGAATAAGGCTATCAATGAAAAATATCTGGAAACAGTTGAGGCCTTCTTAGGTAATTTCCTTTTTTAATTATTATATTAACTCAATACAGTATAGATGGATGACCTCATGGACAGTAAGTTGTATGTAGTTAATGTAAACATACATTGCATGCATGTATGTATGTATTTTATTAAAAAAGTAGAATAGGGTAAATGTGTGAGACTGCATGATTAATCAGGTCCATCACAAGAATCCAGAATGTTTTGCACTCCCAATATTATATTGATGTCCATTATCTGTTTTGTATGATGTAAACCATCCTGAAAACATTTTTTGTGATTTTAGGAATAAAACTTCAGAAAAACTCAATGATGGCTGGTTTGAAAATATGTGAGACCTGTTTCAAGAAATGCTCTAGTGCATTAGCTTTTAAAAAAGATGCCTTAATAACTTACAAGCAACAGATTGAGTCAATGGAACGTACTAAAAGACTTTCCAAAACACCACCATCTGCATTGAAGAAGAACACTGTGGTAGAAAATTTACTAAATTCTGTTGAAAAGTTGAAAAGACTGAAGTTGAGCAAAAGCACTGTTGAAAACACATCTTCTAGCAAAGATTCTAAAGCTCGTAAATGTTTGATGTCATTCATTGATGAACCTGAAAACCAAACTTTACCTTCTCCATGCTTTCCAGACCGTTTATTTGATCATGGATACACAAGATCCCTAGGAGGAGTTGAAGACGCCCGTACTTCTTGTGATTCAAAGGTTAAGCCAGATCATGACTACTGTACGAACACCGAAGACTCAGAGACCAAAGACAATGATGATCTTCTCACGTCCATATCTGCAATTAATTCATACACTTTATCTGATGAACTAGTGAAATTGGACACACAATTGAAAAAACTGTGTCATCCTGGGGCCAGTGTGTTATGGCAACGAAATCCAGAAGTTCTGATGAATGATAATTGCTTTGCTAAAGCTGTAATTGAGTTGAAGTGTAGCTGTCCTCTTCTGTTGGATGTGTTGGCGACCTGTCTAGGGCAATATATTTGTGATGAGAACAAAGTTGTAATGATTGGCACCATCTACGGCATGATCCTGCATGCTAGAAACAAAAAGATTTCTGCAGTACAAAGAATCTACACAGCCCTTGCCATACAGTATCATGCAGACAATAAGGTATTGTTTAATGACATTGATTTGAATTTTATTTTCATTTTTGCATTCAGATTATTTTTCATTTATACTAACATGATGTCAAACAAGTGGTATGTGGTTTTATATCTATATGACCTGTGCATTTAAATAATATTTGTCTTCAACCAGTTGTCACCTCCGAAAGTGCACAATAATTATATATTCATCTCCAAGGATGAAAAAATAAATGAAGTTTCACTAGAGGAACCACAATACCTTTTATTTGACACTAAAGAATCTTCTATTCACTATACATTAAAGCAGCACATAGTAACAATGGAAAATGTTAAAATCCATATTTGCTAAAAAAATTTCAAAATATTTTGTTTTGATACAAATTGATTCATCTTTAAACATTACAGAGTGTCAAAGGACATTCCTCTGTTTCCATTGCAAACAGCAGAATTAACTATTGACTATTTCATGGTTAACTTTATTTATTTGAATGTAAATTCGAAGTATTGTACATGCTACCTATTTATAGGATAACAAATATCCCATTTCATTAACACTAGTGAGCATGGTGAGTGTATAGATGATCCTTAATTTTGTTAATTTACCTTTTATTTTCAATTCTTTTTTTTTTGTTATGTTTACAGTGTTCCTTTCAGTATTTACATCACAAGTTATTAAAATACAGCCACATCATGCTGGAAATTGATGTCAAATAAGCAGTCAAGTATGTATATATAAATATATTTATATGTAACTATAATTTTTTTGTAACAATTACATGTATATTCTTAATTCATTGCTTTAGAAATTATTTTCAAACTTAGCAAACCATGAAACCAAATGTCTTAAAACTTCACTCTTTTAATTTTATTCAGTACAAATATATTTGGCTTTCAATATATCCTTATGATCATTGGTAATGATATATATAAATTTTTGTGTTTTTCTGTAGCTGCTCCAGAGATTGAATCAAGTTCATGTTACATTGTCACATGAGTCCAAAAGACACTTGCTGGAAAACTTTTCGGATTACAGTTTTGACCAAATTGTCAGGAATTGTGCCAATGGAATGGATGGAAAAATTAATGGTGATAACTTAGACTTGTATGTGAAAACAAACGACATCAGAATGAACAATAAGAACCGAGACTTGCACTATTTTGCCTCTGATTTAACATTTGATCGTGTGCGTTTAGATCATCTTGAAGATGCAGCACCATTGGGAGATCCCAACAATGTTAATGTGCAAGTGTTTATTCCATCTGCAGATGAAATGACCATGTACAGAAAGTCTCTTAAGTATTTGATAGGTAGAGAATTGGCACAAAGTATTAAAGGACTGGAATGGATGAATGCCATCATACCAACACATATACCTCATGATATGGAGAAAGTGATGTGTGAGAGGTCTAAAATTTTTTGGCTTCCTTTGCAGTTAAAAAATGAAATGTATCACGACCAGTGCATTCAGATTATGAATGAGTTAGAGAAACATGTGAACACCATCTATACTAAAGCTGGAAGAGGTATTTCATTATACATGTACTACATGTAAGAAATAAAAGTTTGTTTAATTTTTGTAAGTAATATTATGATCACAATGTATAAATATTATCATGATAAATTCTAGAAATACAGATCACCAATAACCCTGTCTGCTGATATGTTTATTATGATATGACAATCAGCAATTCAGCATGTGTTATATTTGTTTTAAAATTTTAATGACATATCATTGGCAAGTAACAGTAATTCAGACTTAATAAATTTGCATGAGTTATAGCCCTGAATGCATTACATATTACAGGTGGGGATCTGGAGAAATTAAAAATAGTTGTTGGCGGCGATCAGATGACCAGATGTAATCTTCAAAGTGCTAAAAACTTGAGAAGAGGATGCTATAATCAAACAGAAAGATTAGAGCATCTCCATCCCATAATAATGGAGATGTTTCACACCTTGATGGATTTTCTGGAGGTTGGTTGCATTAAAATAATTTTGAATTAGCCATTATCAGTGTAATTAAAATACTTAGCTTTTTAAATGTTATATACAATTGTAGACAAAATGAATATTACATGTTGTTAATGGTAACATGTTTACTGTAATTTTGGAAGATTTTTACTGCAAGAAAAACAACCATGTCAAAAAAAAAAATCAAATGTTCCTTAAGGTTGTCAATCATATTCCTCTACACTTCATGAAAAGTTACGTAATATTTATGAAATTAGTAATCTTTCTATTTTCCAGAAGTTATTCAAAAGATTTTACTCAAAGGATGGTGGCCGAGACGCTGCAACTTTAGCTAATATGAAAATGCTTATCCAAAGAACAAATGTTAATGGCCAAGTGAAAAGCCGGTTTGAGGTTAGTAAGTAAGCTGTAATTGGTATATTAGTAATGCATTCACATTGCATCCTTATTGCATTTTTACTTCAGTTTAATTGAAAATCAATTGATAATTTTTTAATTCTTTTATTTGATTGCATATTTCAGGCACATGAAGAGTTTGTCCTCTTGATAGGTAAAGCCTACCTTCTAGTTCTTGCTATGAAAATTTTCAAGATGGAAAACATAGAGGACAGTCCTAAGCATCCATTGCTGAAAAACAACATGAAATACTTACAGAACAAACCAAAAGAGGAAGTTTTTGATGCTCTTATGGAGGAGATACTTGACTGTAGTTTAGTTCCCTTCCAGCTTGATGTATGTAGTCCTTCTTCCAGTTTTTATAGTTTTGCTACTTCTTTCAGTGTTATTAATGAAGTACTGGCAATAATATTCAGAGCAATTTCTATTGCAGGAAGGTACAGTGAATGTCAAGACAGTGGAGTTAGAGGTATCATTTCCAGCTACAGGACAGAAAGTGAACGTCACTGGGAAAATTGAGGGAAATACTATAACATTTCCATTGTGTGTAAATAACAGAAGTTATGTCTTCTCAGCTCCGAAAGAGAACATCTGTACAAAATCTGGCTGGAGATTATGCTTACCGACTGAATTTGGAGTGATCAACATGACAGTAATGCAGACTAGAGCTCCTTTGGATGACTTGAAGAACTATGTGCACAACTTTATTCAGTGGTATTATGTCGTACTGAACTTCAAGGACACTATGAAGGAAGGAGACATATATCGTACAAATATGCTGTTAAAAATGATGATTCCTTTCTTTTATAGCCACAGTGCCCTCTCCAAATACTTTGTCGAGTGTATTGACTACATTCTCAAGACCGAAGTCATGCTTTCGCCAAGACTTTCTATGCGCATCCGCTTGTCATCATACGTAAACCCGAAAGGAGGCAAAGGAAAAAACAAAGCAGCTGACATGCAAAAGGAAAATGAAGTTAGGATATTAAAAGATCTCATACGCGGATTAGGTGCTAATAAGACTGAGCACGCCATCGTTACCATCTCAAAGGCAGCCCCTGTTATTAGTGATATTTCAACCAACTTCGATAGAGCACTGAAAATAAAGGAGGGAGGAACTACGCATAAAAAGAGAGACGACAGAACCGATCTCATTACATTGGTAAATGCCTTAAAAAAGATGAACATATGGAGTTATGTTCCAGGCAGGGTACTTTCAAAATCAAACAAGGTCAGTGAAACACCGTTTAAGTTTGACAAGAATATGTTCAAACTTAGTATTTTAACGACGGTGGATCGCCTCAAACTTGGGATACCAATCTCTGATTTGGAGGAAGAGGAATTGGAGGGAGATAATGAGGATGATGGACAGTGACATTTGTAGTCAAAATGCAGATAGCTCACATAACAAGAGGCCCATGGGCCTTATAGGTCATCAAACTTCATATGTTGATACAAACTTGCAAGGATGATGCATCTAGGGATGAACACTACCAGACTTGCTTCGGATGCTGGATCTGACCTACATTTTTACTATAAGCCTTACCTGAACCAAATTTGCATGGATGATGCATCTAGGGATGGACCCTACCAGACTTCCTTAGGATACTAATATATCCTCTGCTGGGCATTCATGTCCTATGGACACATTTCTAGTTTTTTCTTGAACAACTCTTTCAATTCACCATTATTAGCTCACATGAGCCTGGTTCAGGTTCAATTGAACTTTTCTGATCAAAAGTTGTCTGTCGTCATCATCATAAAATTTTTGCATTTTCATCTCCTCCTCAAGAACCACAGTTGATATTCAATGTCAAGAGTCTGTTGACCATCATATTTATTCATTTACTTATACCCTGGTAGTTACAATCTGTCCAATTTTCGCTTTTTGAATCTATTTTGAATTTTGAATCTATATACATACAAAGTTTGTAGAAGAGTTTTAAGACTTAAGAACAATACACCTGAAATAGTTGTACTAGGAGAACTAGGGAGATATCCTCTTATGGTACAGTAATTTATTTCATATTGGTTAAAGATACTTTGTATGGAAGATGATAGATATTCAAGAAGATGTTACTTATTTTTACTTCAGTTAAATAATGCCAGTAGAATTAGAGGTAACTGGGCATCCGAAGTGAAGTCAATGTTATTTAGATATGGATTCCACTATGTATGGATTTATCAAGGTGTAGGGGATAATGTATTATTTTTAAAATCTTGTACATAGAGTTCAGGATAACTATATGCAGGAATGGCACTCCTCATTGAGCTCTTATAGTAAACTGGATTTTTTTTTTGTAAATTCAAAATTCTTTTTGAACCGGAAAGGTATCTAGATGTCATAAATTATGTATCTTTCAGAGAATCAATTTGTAAATTAAGAATCTCTATTCATTGTTTGGAAAATGAACTTGATCGATTTAAGGTATTCCTAGAGAAGATAGGTTTTGTCTCTTCTGTCAAATAGCAAATAAAAAATGTATTGAAAATGAAAAGCACTTTGTAGAAAATTGTGAATTATATATGGATATTAGAGTAAAATGTAATATTTTGAAACACCTACAATTTTATAAAAACACTGTGAATATGTTTATATATGGAAATGATGCAGTGTTAAATGATATTGCAAAATTTTACTTTTTAGCTTTTAAAGAGAGGGAAAAGTTCATTGAGAATTTAATACTTGATAATTTATAAGCAAACTTTATATGTTTCCGTAATGTATACCTGGTAAGCCTGATCTGAAATTGTAAATTTAACACTGTAAAATATGAATGTAATTTGGGCCGGTGGCCCGCAATACTTAATTTAATAAATATCTTGAATACTTGAATACAAATTCATACTTGTTAATTTTTTTCTATCATTTTATACAGATTGGACAAATAAATAAAATATGCAAGTGAAATTATCTTCTTTTAATATATGTTGTTACTTTCATGTTTTTTTAATGATTTTTTTAGAATCTGTTCTTCAGAAATTTTAAGTATGATCATATAAAAAAAACATCATTACTCTACAACAGGTGTACACTATAGATCTACAAGGTATGAAGTACATCAAAGCATCACAACTTTACTTTACACTATAGATCTACAAGGTATGAAGTACATGTACTTTATGATCCCTGAATTTTTCTACAATTTGAGCAGCACAGTTCAGGCATTCCGCTGTACAGGACAGTTTCAAATCCAAAGTATTTCATGAGATACTTCCGTAAACACCCCTCTGTGTTAACATATTCTTTGATGCTAGGATCCATACCTTTACGATTGCTTGCCACATCATTTTTGTTAAAGAACATGATTGCCTTGGCACTCTGTCCAGATCGTCCAGCTCGACCTACTTCTTGGAAGTACTTTTCTAAGGTGGTTGGGGGACGGAAGTGAATGATCTGTGAGATTGAAGGGGCATTCAATCCCATTCCCAAGGCTACACTGGCGAAGACTAGTCGTAGTTTAGGCTGTGGTTTAGAAAGCTCGGAGACAATTTGCAACTTCATTTTCTCAGAGTAGTCTTTATGATATTGCCCAAAAATACGATTCTCTGGAACTCCTTCCTGTGGTATGTAGGCCCTGGGTCCAAGCTTCTGTTCTGTGTACACATATGCATACCCTATGGCCTCCAAATTGTTGCAATAGGCAATGGTAACAGGATATCTGTCAAGCTTGTCACTGAGTTCTGATACTATCTCAGCCAGAATGTTGTCAAATTTTTCAAATTTACGAATGTTTGGCAGACGGCTTCGGATCTCGAGGTAGATGTTTGGCCTGTCTGGATTTGCAATAACAAACTGTGTGTCTCGGTATTGTAATACTTCAGAAAGCCTTGCAATGTCTGATTTGGTAGCTGTGGCAGTAAGGGCTAAATGAGGCACATCAGGGAAAAGGCAGGTCAAATTGCCCAGTTTATCAAAAGAATTTCTGAACTCTTTTCCCCTAAAAACATAAATATATTTTCCATAAATAAAACTGGATAAAATTGCATATATAATAAGAACTGTCAAAAGGGTTTTTCAGTTGTGCCAAGTCACTAATACCAGTATTGCTGTGTACATTTTGAGTGACCTTGGATTTGCACAAATGATCAAGGTCATGACACATCCTCATGAGCAATCGTTTTGTGAAGTAGTAGATTCAAGTTCTTTCATGAGGAATATATATGAATTATTAACATCTTTTCAGAGACCTTGAACTTGCACATGTGACCTTTTGTCAAGGTCATGACATGCCTTTAGGTCATAAGCAATCTTTGTAATATGGGAACTTGTGAAGTTTATACAAAAAGAAAGATGTGGACTGGACACAAATTATTGAGTTTTTTTTTTAAGTGACCTTGA